AGAAACTACTTCCTTAAATTGTCCTTTGACCTCCCCATGTGTGCCGTGGCACTCCCCCTCCAACCCTTGTATTTCTCTCTCTCTCTCTCTCTCTCACACACACACACACACACACACACACACACACTCACTCACTCACTCAATCAATCAATCAATCAATAAAGTAACTTAGAAAGAATATTAATGCTGGGCAGTGGCAGCACACGCTTTTTTTTTAATCCCAGCACTTGGGAGTCAGAGCCAGGTGGATCTCGGAGTTCCAGGCCATCCTGGTCTACAGAGTGAGATCCAGGACAGGCACCGAAACTACACAGAGAAACCCTGTCCAAAAAAAAAATAATATTGTTACAATTCCAGTTGCCTCTCTGTACAGAGCTAAGTTTCTCTAAATGCAACCAATTTTGACACAGGAAAGATTGTCTAATTTGGTATTTCTGGTTAATGGAACAAAAGTTATTTTGAAATTTATGTAAGCAAAATATTTATATGCATAAAAAATGAAAAAAAAAGGGTTTTGAAAATTCTGCTTCCAAGTATATTGAGAGAAAAGAGAGAAGAAAATACCTTTTGTTTAGCTCTTATATACTGGCATGATTGTTAGGATTCTGTACATGTGCAGCTCGGGGTTTTGTCTGGTGTCTTATGTCATCAAGTGGGCACAGCCGACTGCATCCCTGCCTTAAAAAGCCACACATGGACCCCCACACTCTCTTTCTGCACTCCTCTTTCTGTTTCCTCGATGCTCTGCTCCACCATCTTTCTGTCTCTCCAGGCCTAGTTTCTTTCTAATAAAGCCCTTTCTAACTCTGGTAGGCAGGGCTGTAACTTTTCTGCCACACCCGCCAACCCACCAGCATCCTTTCACTTATAGCTAGAACAAAGGTTTTTACGTGTATCACATTCCACTCAGCTTAGACAGATATGTATTAATTCCTTTACTTAAAAAAAAAACATATAGAATGAGAAATTTATTTCAGCATAATTGGTAACTTTGAGGAACCAACGGCAAGTGAACATATTTTATAAAATAAAATTTAGATGCCGTTATTCCCCATGCAGACATCATCAAACACTGTAGACATATGCACTGCCCATTCAGGAATTTGTTATTTTGCTGAATTTCAATCGTATGAACTCATGACTTTATTTGCATCTGAAGAATATAATTTTTATGAAGTTCCTTGTTAAGATTAGGTAATAGGACACATTTTACCTAATAGTGTGGTGCTGTGGATATCGCTCTGTATACATAAAATGCTGATTGGCCAGTAGCCAGGCAGGAAGTATAGGCAGGACAAGCAGAGAAGAGGATTCTGGGAACAGGAAGGCTGAGTCAGGAGACGCTGCTAGACGCCGCCATGAGTACCAACATGTAAGATACTGGTAAGCCACAAGCCATGTGGCAAGGTATAGATTTATAGAAGTGGGTTAATTTAAGATGTAAGAACTAGATAGCTAGAAGCCTGAACCAATAGAGCAAACAGTTTACATAATATAAGTGTCTGTGTGTTTATTTTATAAGTGGGCTGCGGGACTGCAGGGGCTTGGCGGGACCCAAGAGAAGATCTCCAGCTACAGTGTGGTAGGATGATTTATATTCTTGTCTACCCTTACAAATGTTAGGGGTAGGGCTGGGGGAACTGTTGATCATATGAGATTCATAATACTGAGAACACTGGATGATGGACAGAAGATTATGAACAACCTGGAATGGGGCTATGGGCACAAACAAGCAACATTACTGGCAGTCCCTCGAAAAGATTTGAGACACAGATAAGAGCATATAATACCAGATGCTTAGAGATGATAAGAGTAGAGAGGTTATTTTTCAATGTTATTCTTCATCCCTCATTCCCAACTAAGATTTGGCATAGTAAAAATCTGAATATTATTCAGGTTGAATCCCAGTGCTTGCAAAATTCATTTATGCATGTAATTGTTCCCGCTTCCTCATTTAGAAACTGTGAGTTATTCATCTATTTATTATAATGTATTGTTTTGATGGGTCATGATAAAGGTAATTATGAAATACTTGACAGAGAGTGCAAATGGTAACATCTGATATCCCTGTATTATACTATTAATCATCAAATTATGATCTATTTGCCATTAACCATTTCATTGTTTATTACTTTTTGAATGTATTTTTATATAGTTGATCAAAAAGATCAGATTCAAAGGAACTTGTTTCAGACCTAATTACAGACTTTGGTGCTCAGAGCATGAAAAAGTAAAGGAGAGAGGGAGGGAGGAGGGAACAAAGGAAGGAAGAAGTAGGAATAGGAGAGAGAGGGAGAGAAGAGGAAAAGAAAAGTCTACCATAGAGAAAACTCAATCTCCATTTATCTTCTCTGTCTGGTTCTAGTAGTAACTGACAGATGGTTCTTGTGTGTTTGGTAGACCAGTAGGCAAACAGCCTACAGTAGTTTGTCATCAGAGCTGGATGTCAGAGTCTGGCAACAGCCCTGAGCTCTGCTCTCAAAACCACTTTTGCTCACTTGATAGATTCTTGGTTCAAGCATCAAATTCATTAAAAACAAAAACAAAACAAAAAACAAAAAACTTTCCCATTTGATTGTTGGACTAACCTTACTCTTCTATTTCTCCAGATAATTTTTTTGGGGGAGATCATTCTAGAAAACAGACAAAGGTTGATAATATTTGGAAGGTGTAGTTACATGAAGTCCTTCAAGTTTTCCCCCTCACCGGCCATATTTTGTGGCAACAAAGAAGAGGCGAATATTAATGTTTTAATTCATTTAGATGAGAGAAGGCTATTCTGGCGTTGCAATGACTTGTAACAGACTATTGTAACAGTGGCATATCCCAGAGTTTCTGTTGATCTGGGATTTGGAACTACTGAAGGAGGTTGTTTGGGGTCATCTCAGTGACTCAGGATGCTTTATGTGTCTGCAGTTAGGATATCTACTCGATCTGTAGTCACCTGAAGGATGGACAGGGGCCCAGAGAAATGCTTCCAGTATGGCTTCTTTCCAAATCTCTTGGCAGTTTTGGACCATGTGAGCCTTTATGTAGTGCTGATGCTCTGATGTCTCAACCCCATAGTTTCTGGCTTTTTCCAGAGTGAGTGATCCAGCCTGTGAGGGCACATACCTTTGACTTATGCTGTATTTTATTGGTTATATAGACCAATCTGATACAGTGTGTGGGAGGAAGGAATACGTAGTCACAGGTGCCAGTCAGACTCTGGCTACCATAGATATGCTTGTGTTTGGAGCATTCACCAACAGGGGTTGAGCCCAAAAAATATAGGAAAGTGTTGTATCACTTAACTTCTTCAATACACTTTAGTTTTTGGGGTAAATATTGGCTACTATTTGATGATATGTTTAAAAATAATAATAATGTTGGACTGTGGAGCCAGAATCAACTCAAATCCTACCTCCTGACTTCACCCTTGAAGATTTGACTGGTATGTGACTATCTAGTTCCTTTTTTTTTTTTTTTTTTAGTAAAGGAATTAATATGTATCTGTCTGAGCTGAGTAGAATGTGATACAGGTAAAAATCTTTGTTCTAGCTATAATGCCAGTAAAAAAAGAGATGAACAAATGGTGTTTTCCTTTCTCTTTTGTCCCAATATACTTGGAAGCAGAATTTTCAAACATTTTTCCCATTTTTTTATGTGTCTGGGTGTTTTGCTTGCATGTATGTCTATGTATCATGAGCATACAGTGCCCTCAGATGCCAGAATAAAGCATCAGATCTCTGGGAACTAGTGGTACAAAGGGTTGTGGGCTCCATGTGGGTGCTGGGAATCAAGCCCAGGTCCTCTGGAAGAATGCAAGAGCCCTCTAACCCCTAAGCCATTTCTCTAGCCCCAGAATTTTCAAAATTTTGTGCCAGGAACAACTAACTTTTATCTAACCATCCCTTTTGAGTAGTGATTCTGGCTAAGGGCAGTCTCTTCCAATGTGCCAAAGAAATACATATATTTTAACTTTTATTGATTATTTGTGAGTTTCACATCATGCATTCTAATCTCATTTATCTCCCCAGGTCCCAGCATCAGCCCTTTGCCCTTGCAATGACCCCTCTAACAAAACCAAATTAAAAAAACAAACAACAAAAAATCAAATCAAACCAAACCGAACCAAAAAAAAAAAAAAAAAAAAAAAAAAAGAGGGAGAAGACTCTTGTCCTGGAAGCTGCAGTATTGTCCGGTGAGTCACACAGTTCACCCTTCAGTCCCTTCATCTTCACCTGTAAGTGTTCATTCCCGGGAGTCATTGGTCTGGCTCCAGGCCTCTGGCTTCTGCTATGCCACAGATAATGGCTCTCACCAGGGCTCCTCTTGGATATCCTGTTGTTGTCCTGTGTTGTGGAGATCCTCCTGTTTTAGGTCCGTAGGTTGGTCCCCTTCACATGCTCCAACAGGTCATAGATGAGGTGGATGTTGGGGTGGGCCAGCTCATAGCCCTAGTTCTGGGCCTGGGTGATAGTTGGGATGGTCAGCCTGCCAGCTGTTCTCCATTGTTACCACTCAGGTGAGCTCTCCAGCACTTCCTTGGTTAGCTCACCCAGTGCAGCCTGCAGCAAGCATGTGGTCAGTTCTGATTGATTCCTCAGAGTCCTCAGATTCGGCTCATCCACCATCAGGGCCAGGTCTACTGTTTTGCCCAGGTGAGGTGCAAGGCCCTCTCTCCCAATTGCTATAGGGATATGGGGATGGGTCAGCTCTCCTGCTGCAGTCTCCAGCAAGGGGCAGGGCCAGCTATCGCAGGGTCAGTGAAGGGAGGGGCTGTCTCCACACTGTACTGTTCCAATGACCCCTCTGTGCTAACATGGGCCACAGACATCATCGCAGACCCCAGCTGCAGCAGGACCACAGACCTAGACATGGCCCTTGGCAGCAGCTCGGCTGGACATTACCATAGCCCTGGTGGCAGCACAGGCCACCCAGATCAGTATGGCTCCAGCAGTAGCATGGACAGCATGGCCCTTGGACACCAACATAGTCTCTGGTGTGCCAAATAAATATTAATATATGTTCACCAGCGTGAAAAACTTTGGGAAGAATTTCTCAAAAGACTTTTTAAAAGAGGGGCACTAGAATTCAATATTGAGCTACTATGCAAGAGAAAAAAAGGCAACCAACAGGAAGAATAATGGTTCCAATTTGTAGGTCAGGTGGTTTTAGGTACAGTTCTAGAGACTCCAGAGATAGGAGCTTACTCTTTTCTGCTTGTGTACAAGGCCTGAGGAAGTATACACGAAGGTTCTTGTCTCACTGCCATCAGAACTAAACCAGAGCCATCTAAAAAGCCCTAACACTTGTGGAAGCTCTTCATGGGTAAGAGTCCAAGGAGTCATTTTGAGCAATGGGGAACTCTTAACTGCTTTGATATCTAAACACCCTTGCTCCAGGGCTTTGGGTTTGTTATTTAGCCACTGTGGATGCAAACATACATGCAAGGACACACAGCTGGATAGAAGAATTATGGAATCAGAGAGTTTTATAACAAGGGAAGATATAAAAAATCAAGTTCACACTTACCTGTGGAAAAAAATTTTGTCAGTATTAAAGACACAGAAGATTAACAGCTTGATATTATCGAGCATTGTTGAAGGGAAGGTTGAAGGGATTGAAACATGACTGAGAGAGGCAGGAGAGTGAAAAAAGGCTCTGCTTTCCTTACCTCTGATGATCAAGGTCAATGAATAAGATTGTCATTTTAAAAAAATGATCCTGTGAGTGACTCAGGCTGTGAAGTATGAAATCCTTGTTCAAGTGAGAGATAAGACAGTGACTCATGTAGTCAAAGAGGCTGAAGTAATTCTGGAAACTTCGATGATGGTTATGGTGGCAGTGACCCTTTTGGAAGAAACATTAGTGGCTGTGGTAGCTTTGGTGGTGGCTGTGGTGATGGTGGATGTGGTGGTAGTGAATACCTATAATGGATTTTGTAATGGCAGTGGCTAAGGAACTTAAACTGGGGACATCTGTAAGACCAGTGTGCACTCTTATTTGCTGAGCAATTTCTCCAGTCCTTTTATCTGTCCATTAGAAAAAAGATGAGAGAATTAAAAACAACAACAACAACAGAATGATTTTATTCTAAAAGAACTATTTTAACTCAGATATGAAAAAAAGTATTTAGAAATCTTAGAACAATCTTCCCCAAGTTCTCTAATTTTCAAAGGACAAATTTGGACCTATATTAGACTCTTCAAGGAATGGGGCTTGGAATTGTGATGTACAGCAATGGCCCCTAATACTGGACGAGCATGGGCATGATACCTAGTTCATTTACCTTCAGAAGGCAGAAAGCTTTCTGGTCACCGCAGAACCAGGAGAAACGATACCTTGGCTGGAACACAAATAGCTGCTGCCACCAGGTACAAGTACAATGAATAAGGATAGAGAAAATGATCTTCAAGTGTGCTTTTTAAAAGAATAAAACAAAACATGGCAAAACAAAACAACAAAAGCAGGCTAAAGACAGGTTATATAACAGTCTTTCTTTAAAAAAGGCAAAATGACATATACTATTGTATATGTACATACACATCATGGCATACATGTGTAAAATCCAAGGACAACTTTTGAGAATCAGTTGTTTTCTTCCAACTTGTGGTTTTAGGGGATCAAACACAGGTAATGACCAACTAGAGGCAGGAAATTTGAGTAAAAAGAGAGTGAGGTATAAGAAACAATAGAAAAATCAGAACTACTTTATACATTGTCTTCTTAAATTGGATAATCTAATCTTTTAAGAAATGTTGTATTACATTTGTTTATTTTGTATTTGTGTGTATGTGTGGGTGCACACATACTGTGGTGTGTATGTTGAGACCTGAGGGAAACTTGCTGACATTGATTTTCTCTTCCACCATTGGGTTCTGGAGACTGAAATCACGTCATCAAATTTGATGGCAAGTGCCTTTACCTGCTGAGCCATCTCCCTGGTGCGGATCTAATCGTGACACTCTTATCTGTTCTGGAAGTGCATATTCCCATCCCACCCCATCTTATTTACTCCAGGATATGTAAAGTGTGTGTACAAACGCAGTGATGTGTCCCCTACCCCCGGGTGAATGGACAGCTGTGTCACTAAACACCTATCAAGGCGACAGCAGAGGTTTGCAAGGCTCAGTTGGAGAAATGCATTTTCTACCACAGTTCTGGGAATCATTTCAGGTTTCTGGTTTAAGGTCTCTTTGAGAGTCCCTGGGGTCAACTAACATAAGGAAAATTCATTGAAATTTTGTCATGTATGTCTAGCTGTAGGCTGAGCATTAAAAATCTAAGCTAGTATATTTTAATATGTATTTCAGTTGTCTTTTAGTATATCACAAAGTACTCAAAAACTTAGAGGCTTAAAAAATGTATTGCCATTGCTTGTAGTTATGCAAGGCCTCTCCTGAACACAGGCACATGGTGCAAGAGGAATCTGAAGGTTTGACTGGTTGATGATCAAGATGGCATGTCAGCTCACCATTTGGATCCTTGGTGGGAATGGCTGGAAGAGGTACAGGTTGGTATCTATGTCTTCTTTTGTTCACGTGGCCCATTCATGTAGATACTGTGGGGATTCTTCCTAGCACTCAGTCTAACTACAAGTTCTTAGCATTCTTGTACAGGAGCTGTTTTCTCTGAGTAAGTTCAAAGGACCTTGAAAGAATTGCAAGTGTGTCTATAACCAAGCTTAAGAGGTTGTGTGCTACCACCTTTGGAGGCATTCTGTTATTCAAAGAACAACTTGAGGAATAGCAGCAAACATAATTGAAAAATTTCATCCAAAGTGGAAGATTAGAATCTGTGCATTTATAGCAATATAAATAAATTATTGTATAAATAAATAAGTGCATCAGAATAAATGTCTCAGAGGGAGAGTTACCATTATATATTTATATATCTCTATATCTATCTATCTATCTATCTATCTATCTATCTATCTATCTATCTATCTCTATCTAGCTATCTATATCTCTCTCTATATATTCTTCATTTTTGAGGAAGAGAAATATAAATGTTCATCCCTTAAATATGAGCTGTTCATAATGACTTCCTTCTGAAGACCACCATAGGGATGGGGGGAAAAGTATTTCAACTGTGTGGTTAAGGACAGGACATGGTCCTGACATGAGGCAATGGAAATGCTACTTTACTCCTGTGATCTTTGTCCTTCAAATCTTTAGTGCCAGCACAGTCATGGAAAAATATCAGACCAGTCCTCCCATCTAAAAACTAACCTGGCCGGACACTGCTCAGCTTCCAAAATCACATGAAGTTGGGCAAGTTCAGGTAGTATGGTTGTAGACCAGGCAAGTACTCATAGACAGGAATTCTACAAAATACTTGACTAGTGTTCTGTAAAACTGCCAAAATCATCAAAAACAAGAAATGTCTTGAGAGTGACAGCCAAAAAAAGCAATGGATAGACTTCTGGAACATAAAGAGCTATTGGCAAAAGTAATGAAAATATAACTGTGGACTTTAGTCAATATTCATTTGAACATGCATTTGTTAGTTATAACAAAAAGAGGGCATTATAGGAGAAACTGGATAAAGAGGTAGATGGAAATTCTATCATGGTCTCATTTGTTGTATAAACCTAAACCTGTTCTAAAATAAGGTCTATTAAAGAAAAGTCGTAGGGCCAGACATGATTTGAAGGTGGGAGCATTCGAAGTCTGTAAACAGATGTGTTCATTAGGGGAAGGGGTGGCTTTCATGGAATCCATGCCATTGATTTACTTCTACCCCTACTCAGTTCATACAGCTCTTGCCTTGATTCCAGAGGTAGAGGCTCTGGCCTAAGGCATTCAACAATGTTTGCTCTCTCATCAGAGTTGTGAAATCCTTTATCCTTTGCCATAGAATATAGATTGAGGGTGGCCAGTGACTTAAGCCTGGTTCATAGTATTCCTAGACTGTCAAAATCCCAGTGGTGTGGCCTTGAACCTTGAGGAAGGAGGTGCCACCCCTTATCTTGCTGCCTGGGGGTTGGGGAAGAACTTGGGCTGGGTGGGGAATCTTGAGAAAGAAAATAGCACCAGGAGACAGCAGGGAGAAGAGAGCCAAAGGCACAGAACGAGGCTGGGGTGCTGGAGCTCCTAGATGGGTCCCTGCATGGTGAGCTCTGACGGCAGACTCATTAGACAAGCCAGGTGCTCTCTCCGGTGAGTGGAAAAGGTTTTCTAAAGGATAGGGAGGAAGAACTGACTTAAAACTTATTTCCATGTCCAGTATGATTAGATTTTATTTTTTTGAGATGATCTCACTAGTCCTGTCCACTTGCTTTGGTCTTCTGACCAGGACTTACATGGATACTTCATTATCCCCACCATGTCAGAATAGTAACAGATTTCATGATTGCTGCTCTTCTGAAGCTGCTCTATTTTGTCTCAGCCAACGAAGTTTTTGTCTCAAGATAAACCTGTGAAAAGTAATTCGGTTAATATGCTGAAAATGTTTAGAATGAGTGCATAGCATGAGAAAAGTCTCTGTTTTTATTTCATGGACTTTTTCTATATATATTATACATTCACAATAAAAATAGGTTTGAAAGACTAAAGCTGATTTTGTCTGCCTTGGAGACTGGATTTGATTCAGAAGTAGAGATACTATGCAGGAAGACCAATTTGGAACCTACTGCAATAGAAAACTGCTGACATGACAGAAAGAGCATGACCTTGGAGCCAAGGAAACACGCATTTGGCTGGGTTTGGTTCTGCCACTCTGACCTGCGCAGCATCAGACAGCTCTCATTTCCCTTTGAATAGCAGTTTCTTTTGTGAAAAATATGATTATAATACTCTTATTATATTGTTACTTATTATAATATACTCTTTTTATCCACTGTTGTGAGAAATTTTGTGTAACTTTCCCAGCATCCAGTACTCTGAGTAAATGTGTTTATTATTTTGTCAATGAATGAGCCTGAATTAAGGCAGAGACCATAGAGATACAGAAGACAGAAGAGATGACAACACTCTTTAGAGAGATCGGACAGGCCTTGGAGATTGATTAGATGCACAAGGTAGTCAGCGTGGGAGGAGATGCTGTACTGGCTAGGAATGGTACCTGTGTGTATAGGCAAGTGAGATGTCTACATAGGAGGAGAAACAATATGGCAATCCAGGATTATGGATGTGTGTGCACGTGTGCATGTGCATGTGTGTATGTGTATGTGTGTGTGTGTGTGTGTGTGTGTATGTGTAATGGAGAGAGTTATGAATTCAAGAGGAACTTCTCATGGGAGATGACACAGAGATGAATCTATGAGTTTATAGTTCAAATTCACTCAGAGCTCTGCAAACAGAACTTCCTAAGAGAGTGTGCTCAGGGTCATAGGGGACCAAAGTTAGAGCCCTGAGCAAAATTAACAGGGAGAGAACAGAAAAGAAGACAGAAAATGAGGTAAAAAGTCTCCTGATAGTTAAGTAGAGAAGTAATTCTAACACCAGAAAGAAACCTCTGAAGAGGAAATGAGCATCTGTTTTCAGCTGCCATGAAGGTCTGTGACAAGAAAAGTGAAACATTAGATTTAGGTAATGGTCTCCACTGCTCAGACAGATTGCAGGCTGTGGAAGAGTACATGGGAGGTAAGAAGTGGACATGTTGTCAAAATGTACTCTGTGCATTCTGGAACCTTGGCTCTCAAAGGGAAGATAGATAAGGATGTTGTAGTTTGATTGTTGGCTTTAGTGAATGTGTGTGGATCTAACCAAATATGTGTGAGAGAGAAGAGAAGATTGGGAGAGGGCATATGGGCAGATGGTGAGGGTGGAGGAGGGGAGGGAAGGAGAGAAACTGAAGTACGTGGTGTGGGAGGGGTGGAATTTGCCAGCACAGGTGGAGGAATTAGCCAGAAACCAGAAGAAGGAGGTCACTTCCTCTAGAATGAGAGAGAAGCTGACACTGGTAAGGGAGATAAAAATAGATAAAGTGTGGGTTGGGGTGTGTAGGTATGTGATGAGGTATTGAGAAAGTTCAGCTGATCATCTCAGAAGTCTGTGGAGAGGAGGACACTGGATGTGGGACCGGAGTGTCCATCCTTACCAGTTGCCGAGTTTAGAAAGGGTTGAGTGCTTTGGTCTTGTTGGGGCTGAAGGTATCATTTCCTCCATCAGTATTTCCTGCTGCAGCTGCAGGGCTAATAGCTGTGACAGCTGACCACAGCCTCTGGAAAGCAGGGTAGAGTCCAAGGTGAGGGCTGGGTACTAAAGGGGAAATATGAATCCAGGGTGTTCCCAAATCCAAGGAAATTGGGACATTAGTTTTATAAAAGTGGGCCACTCTTTGTCCGTGTGTGTGTGTGTGTGTGTGTGTGTGTGTGTGTGTGTGTGTGTGTGTGTGTGTGTTATGCACACTGGGGATTGAAACAAAGGCATGGCACATGTCTGGCAAGTGACATGCTTGTCCACAAGACTATTTTTTATCTCATGGTCTTTAGCTACTGGAGTCATGAAACTCTTTGCTTCTTTTAGGGGAGGAGGTTACAACTTTTTAAAAACAGATAAAAAGAAATGATTTATGTAATTTGAAGTTGTTGCACAATGAAAATAGAGAATAAATCTTTTGTTTTGTTTTTGGAGACAGGGTTTCTCTGTGTAGCCTTGTCTGTCCTGGGATTTATTCTGTAGACCAGGCTGGCCTCAAACTCAGATATTCACCTGCCTCTGCTGGGATTAAAGGAGTGTGCTACCACTGCAAGGCTTAGAATAAATTTTTTAAAAGTCACTATTTACACAGGCATTGCTAAACAACTTGGGACCTAGTTTAATTAACTTAATGAAAACATTGCAAGATGCTGTATGAGTTCTTCTATTTTTGTTTACTTTGTGAGAGGATATATAACATCACAAGTAGACATTGATATTTGACTTATTCATGCTTCTTTTCTTTCTGGATTTTTATTTTACATTTATTTATTTATTTATTTATTTATTTATTTATGCATCATTCAAGGAGTCTCTCCACAATTTGTGACACTATATGACAGATATGAGGGCCAGACAAGGCAAAAGTAGGTACCTGTGAGAGTTAATATCAGTTTAGGTCTGAAGCTAAAGTTCTCCCCGCCCGCCCACCCCCCACACATAGGAAGTATTAAAATTAAACAACTCAGGAATTTATCTTTCAATGAACATTGTCTTTAAAATCCTCCCAGAGGTGGGTAAAGCACAAGCAACAATCTGGAGTCGGGGATGTTCAGGAGTGTTCTGAAGGGCCAGCGTCTGGCCCTCCACCAGCTGCTAATATCGTTGTCTCAATAAATTCTCATTCTTAAACACTGTTCTTTAGGGAATTGCTTGCTCCATTTGTGGGTTCCTTTCCCAGGGTATCTTGATCAGGTCTGAATGGAAAAGGAAGATGAAATTAAACATTTCAGAGGAGTCTACTGGTGAATCTTTTGGATGAGAGGGTTAGTGTGATGGCAGCCAGATTTACTGTAGAAGCACCCTCACTTGTGCTTTGAAAATATCAGGGCGAGTGTTCATAGTCCCATTGTTCTTTTAGTATTCCTAC